GTCAATTTGGAACCACATTTAAATCTTAAAATGATTTTAGACTGTGATACAATAAAATGATTCAATGTTCTTTGTCCTTACTGCTTTCCAAATATAGTGAATTTACACTTACCTGCCCTTGATTGAACATTAGATATGCATGAGAGGTGGAGCTAATATTGTAAGAATGGCTCTAAAATTAGACTACATAAATAACAATGACATGTTTTGAAAAGCGAACGTGATCACTCTTTCCAATCTCCCTCTCCATTCTGTATAGCACAAATACACTTCTGACAAAGGTTTCAAAACGAAATTAACAATATGAGCACATCAATGTAATTAAAGCAAATTTATATCAATGCCAGATGACTTAACGTGTTCGAACACAATGTCCTAGTTAGCACATCACATGCTTCCTTACAAGTCACGTGACGGAATTTAGTATTCACAAAGTTACCTGAGGTAAGAAATCACGTGGTGAATTATAATATTCAACATGTCACAATCCTTGGTTACAACACAGAGAGCAAATGTAAGAAGAAGCAGTTTTTTCTCTTTTTAACCATGAGCGCATGTTTGTCTATTAATCTCCTTTTGACACATTATTATTTATGCAAATATACAACTACTGTTAAACGTAGAAAAATAGACAAACATGCGCTGACTATGTATAAAGTCAGTAAATAAGTGGGCGTCCTCATTATCGAACGGAGATTCAAGAAATTGTGATGATCCCTGCCTTTGAAAACAGCTTCGAACTTCGTAAATACACACTTTTATTAAACGTAATTACATAAAGTTGTAGATTGGATGTTGACCATTCTTGCAATGAAAAGAAAAATGCTTGTTTTGAAAGTTTATTTTGTCGCAAATTCCGCATTTCCTTAAGTGCAGTCATCCTTTGCGACAAAATAAACTTTCAAAACAGGTCTTTTTCTTTTCATTGCAAGAATGGTCAACATCCAATCTACAACTTTATGTAATTATGTTATTTACGAAGTTCGAATCTGTTTTCAAAGACAGGGGTCATCACAATTTCTTGAATCTACGTTTGATAATGAGGACGCCCACTTTTTTACTGACTTTATACATAGTCAGTGCATGTTTGTCTATTGTTCTACATTTAACAGTAGTTGTATATTTGCATAAATAATAATGTGTCAAAAGGAGATTAATAGACAAACATGCGCTCATGGTTAAAAAGAGAAAAAACTGCTTCTTCTTACATTTGCTCTTTGTGTTGTAACCAAGGATTGTGACATGTTGAATATTATAATTCAACATGTGATTTCTTACCTCAGGTAACTTTGTGAATACTAAATCTGTCACGTGACTTGTAAGGTAGCATGTTTTGTGTTAACTAGGACATTGTGTTCAAACATGTTAAGTCATCTGGAATTGATATAAAATCTGCTTTAATTACATTGACATGCTCATTTTGTTAATTTCGTTTTGAAACCTTTGTCAGAAGTATATTTGTGCCACACAGAATGGAGAGGGAGATTGGAAAGAGTGATCTTTTTTCCGAACATGTCATTGTTATTTATCATGTCTAATTTTAGACCCATTCTTACAATGTTAGCTCCACCTCTCATGCATATATAATTTTCAATCAAGGGCAGGTAAGTGTAAATTCACTATATTTGGAAAGCAGTAAGGACAAAAAACATTGAATCATTTTATTGTATTACAATCTAAAATCATTTTAAGATTTAAATTTGGTTCCAAATTGTTTTCATAAACATACAAAAGTGAAATAAGGTTTAGATATAAAAGCAACAGAAGCAACCGAAAAAGACCCAAAAACTGGAGTTAAGTGCAGTTATCCTTTAGTGCAAAATCATTCATTATTTGCAAAGGCACAAATGCAGTAGTGGATTTAATTAAAAATAGTATCACATACATGCACGGATCTAGAGGGGGTCCGGACCCCCTCTCAAATTTGCAGAGTTATTGAAAGTGTACACTAAAGCAAATAAAAAATGACTTTGGACCTCCCCTACAAAATGTGGACCCCACCACCACCACCAAGAAAGAGGGTTTTTTTTCATGGATGGGAAATGGATTTTACAGATTTCCCCCTCATCTGTCTGTCCTACCTGGTTTTCACTTGTGCCAAGTTATATTGAAATCAGACCAAAACTGTAGGAGGAGGAGCATTTTGAAAGTTTTTTTCAAATTAGTCATTTAGAGAATTTTCTATTTTTTCATAACCATTTCAACACCATTCATGGAAATCAAAAACCGATATACAAAATTATGTATTCAGTGTAGCCTACTTGTGTGCCAAGTTATATTGAAATCAGACCAAATTAAACTGTAGGAGAAGTAGTTTTTTAAAAGTATTTCATAAAATTTCTAATTTTAGTAACCATGGCAACATCGATCATCAAAATCAAAAATCGATAAAGAGAATCATACACCTTAGTGCAGTCTACTTCTGTGCCAAGTGATACTGAAATCAGAACAAAAAACTGTAGGAGGAGTAGCATTTTGAAAAATTGTTTACAGTCCAGACGGACAGCTAGACGGATGGATGACAGACACCTTACTATTGCATATTAAGCTCTTCTGGTCTCTGATCAGTAGAGCTAAAAATGACAATTTTCTTGCTAGCTTGTCCATTATATTATGACATCATTGCAAGTATGGTCTGCTTACAACTTTGTTTCCATGCACACTTAAAAATTCCCCCAATTTCATCTGCAACAAATAATCACATCTTTCAAAGGTATATCAACAACAAAATTATCTTCTAATCTTTTCTCTGAAAAACGTGTTTATTTTCAAGCTGTTTCATGGTTATTAACATTAAAAAAACTAGTTCTAGCTTCACAAAATATTCATTACTGTAACCGTTAAATGCAAAGAAAATGGGAAATTTTATGCATAGTCTGACAAACACAGTTTTTTCATAAAACCTAATTAACCACTTATTTTAAAGATTGATAAATTTTTGTACATTACATCTACATGTAATACACATGCAAGTAAGCATTCTGCCAGAAATGTTTATCTTACTTAAATATTGGGAGTGGTCCTAATTAACTCTCAGCAACAACATAATTAATAAAGTATTTCACTCTGATGTGGATGCTAAACCATTTTTACCAACAATGAAAACACCCAAATTAAGATTAAAAATATAGATATAGATATTGAATGTTTGGTATACATGCTCTCATCTTACAATCCACAATATCACTAGCAATTTAAAGTTTTGAATTTCATTGTAAATGTATATCAAAACTAAATACATGTATGCTCTATTTAACTCCTCTTTTCAGGTGTGTGAGCCTATTCCATTAAGGCCAAACAAAAAAAATATGTGTGGTTCCGGTTACACTTCCAAAAAAATTAGGGTAGGTAGGTAGGGAATTTTTTTTTTTTTTTTTTTTTTTTTTAAACAAAATGATTTTCTTAATTTTTCCAAATAATACCTATCACTGCTTTTCAAATGGCATTTAGATGTGGTGTGATAATATACTAGTCAATATTGGTAGGGGACACCTACATGCTAGCTTGCTTTAGATTTAACACTATTAAATACTAGCACTATGTTTTGCAAGGAGGCCGTCATTGCTGAAACTAAAACTTAAACCGGAGCCATTGATGGAAATGGGGGAAAATTCCGGAAAAAATATGAAAATTGCCAAAAAAAAGTTTAGGGTCGGGGGTATAAAATAGGGAAGGTCGGGTAACCGGAACCACACATATTTTTTTATTTGGCCTAAGTTTAACAGTAATGGCATGGTTTTATTAGATGATGTGTTGAAAGTACATGTGAAAGAATCTCCCACCTACAAAGTTTATATTTGAGACTATGTTTTCCTTAGTTTTTACCATTATGCTATTATCTGATTTTTGCATGTACATTAATTAAGAATACCAATACTAAAATCCTTGTACCGGTCTAAAATGTACCGTAGTCCTCTCGCTAGAAATGAAACGTAATCCAGCCTGGGTGTTTACTATGGCAAAAAGAGGATTCACTACATTTTTTACAAAACGTCAAGTTCTAATCAGATCAGGAAGATTGAAGTCAGTTTACACATTTAGTATGTGCTCCCCTATTGAAATAAAAATGCAAGGGATATGTACTGTCTGTTGAGTAGACTTTGAGTAACAAAACAAGAAACTTCTCTCTGATTGACAACAAAGTCCCTGCTAAGACTTTCAACATACATTATTTGTTTAAGCTTCATTTTTGTTAACAGCAAAGGTACTTTACAAAGATTTTCATAAAGAAAGAAAGTACAACATGCAGGTAACACTATTATAATTATCAATTAATTAATGATGAAAGTGGTTGCACATCTGTTCTTAGAATTTGATGGTCTTCAGTGATCTTCTACATCAGTACTTTCTCTCATTACAGAGCATCTGCAAAGCATGTACATTACCTGATGCATGGATACAGAAATAACTGCATTAAGGAGATGGAATGACCACTGGACCATAAATCTTAGAATGTGAAATTCGGTTATTGAAACATCTACATGGCTGTGAGAAGCACCAAGCACCAAAAGTGGGGGGGGGGGGGGGGTCTTGATTTGTAATTAGATGGCCCGCACCTGAGTTCAGGTCTAATCTGCTGCATATTTCTCCTACAGTAACTCATTAACTCAACTAATTATGTAAGCCTTTTTTATGAAGCAGTAGACAGTAATTACATATAATAATATCAATTGTGACCAACTTTGAAGAAAGCCTATGACACATCATACACAGCATGTCATTCTGAAATGATTTGATACAAGTTAGTCTACTTGCTGGCTAAAGCTATCCATGCGTAACATTGTTTATACCCCACACTTCACTGCGTGTACATAATAATGTAAACCATCTAGGGGTTACAATCAAATCAATAGTCTACAATCAAGTTTAACAGTCTGAAAAAAAATATATCAGTATATTTTTATTTATAAAGCATGCTAATGTTTCAAACTTCTTATAGGGCCTATACCTCAGCTGACTAAAGCATTTTTTAATGACAGCACACATGCATAAATTTATACCTTAAAACTTAGACTGAGGGGTTCCGAGTCGTCCAGAAATCGAATTGAGCATTGGTACTCTGTATGAACATCACCCTTTACACTCTTTTTGCGAAACATCTTGATGGATGAGACCTGAAGTGTATCGAATTTCCTCAATGGTACCCAAGATTCATAAATTTTCACACATCGATACAAAATGGAAGACCGGCTTAGTCACATGACCAAAGGTCAGGGACGTTTTAATTCTTCGGAACTTAAACATTATGAAAAAATTAGAGTTATTCCGAAAGTAGGACACTTGCAGAACAGCTGACAACTCACAGATGACAAAATGGGACATGTGCGACGCCTTTAGATGTTTCTAAAGAGAATTTTCATTTAGAGCAAGAATGATATATGTTGTTGTGGGTGTATGTGGCTGTGGCAAGTATGCAACGGAGTTCCATATTTATATAGATAGCTGCAATTTAACATACGCAGGAAATAACATCGAAAAGACAATATAAACAATAGAACAAAAACATCTAAAATACATGTATATCCGATCTAGCAATCACATATACCAGAGGTTATTCTTTTTTCTAAATATTGTTCATATGCAGGGGTTGTTAGCTTTAATTACTTTTTTTATTTATTCAAATTCAGACCAAAAATAACAAATTTCACTATATACATCTGTCTCATGTATATAAATTCTCATGGTCATGCAAGGCCCTCTCTCTAGCATTGTTGCACTTTGTGCATAACATACAGTGTCTGTGCTTTGCAAACATAGGTGCAGGTGAAAAAAATGATCGGATAAAAACAAAATGAGGGTTCTAGTGGATGCTTACAAGTCCTGCCTTGAAGGTTGATCTTGAATGATTTGGCAGTGGAAGGTACTTATGGTAACTCATTCCACAGTCTGATACCATATGTCTTTTTTTCAGATTGGCACAAGTTGGAGAGGGTGCCCACAGGTACATGTAGAGCAGGGGTTGAAATATACAGTAGCCCGATGCCCGGGGCTAGTCATTTTAAGACTCGGGCTAGCTAAATTAAATGTAACAATAGTCCATTGGACTAGCATAAATTGGAAAAAAAATTCTTGTCAGTTTACTTTCTCTTTTCCATGTAGATTGGTTTCTTTTGACTGAGCACTTACTCTAGTTTAATTTGTTCCTATCACCAAAGTGTTTGAAACTTATATAAACTTGTTATGTTTTCATTTTGCATAAAAATTGTTGGGCTTAGTTAGTTTGAGGTTTGGGCTAGTAATTTTTTACTCAGAACAGTAGCCCCTGGACAAGTCCAGGGATTTTCATCATTAAATTTCAACCCCTGGTAGAGGTGCTGAGTAGGTGTAGGTATGTTTTGGTTGGTACATCTACAAGTGCATACATGATTTGGTACACTGTACGTAAGCACTACCTTGTGGTCCACTCTGTGAAACAAATGTTATGCTCCACCATAAATATGGCCGGAGCATATGGTGTTTGTTATGTTCATCTTCCATGAAACACTTTGCATCTGGATCAGTTTCAAAGAAACTATATTCATGATGTTTTTATCCAACTTTATATGCTGATACATTGTGGTAAGAACAAATTCAACTGCATCAAATTTTTTTGACTCTGACCTTTTCTATGACCTTGACCTTCCTGTTTTATTTTGTATTTAGCTCATCTTCAAAGAAACTATTCAGAATATTTTTATCTAAACATATATTACATTGATACATATTGGTGAGAACTATTCAACTGTGAACTTGACCTCACTTTTCTTTACTTTGCATTTAGCTCAGTTTCAAAGAAAGTATTTAAAAAGATATTTTTATCTAAACATATGCAATGATACATATTGGTGAAAACATTATTGACTGTGTCCTAATCTTTTTTACATTGACCTTCCCGAGACCTTTGACTTTACTATTTATTGTGTTTAAAACTCTGCTTCAAAGAACATACCAGGTATTCAAGATATTTTCATCAAACTTCATACACTTGTACAAATTGGTAATTTAATTTCTGACCTTATAACCTTCCCCACGTGAAATTGTCCTCACTATTCCCCATTTATCATACATTATTCCCCATTTATCATATAATCTTGAACAAAGGAGCAAGGTACATTTTCTTTCACGATGCATTTATACTAATGAATCTTGGGTGGGGCATTCATATCCTATGAACATATTTCTAGTTTGTTATATAATATGATCCATATATAGCTGTGCTTATTGACAGATTTATTCATATCTAGTGATTAGTTATAGACACCGGCCTATATGTACTAATTTGCAAGTATACAATATATGGACCCCAGCCTCACCCCAATTGAAAAGAAAATCTGCATAAACATGCATTTTTTCCCATTCTTCATCTACCACTTTATTTATATCAACAGAGGTGTCCTTCAATTTTTTTTAAAATCAGAAACATGCATGTAAGTAATGTTATTTATGTTCTGATCTGTATATTTAGCTATATATAGTGGGGGAAGCCTCAATGAAAGTAAAAAATGATGACATTTGTGTACATGTATTTCCTTTTTGCACCTCTTTTGCAATGCTGATCAAGTTTTGGATGAAGCTATCATACTGGCTCCATTTTTCATCGTTGTTCATTGGGTCAGTTATGCAGTTATGATCAGCCACGTTAAGCTGATTTAAATTGTTAAAGAGAAGAATTCATGCAGAATCATTATGATTATTTGTATTTACAAACTGTTCATAATAATAATTAACATCGTTCATATTTATGTCGATCCTACTTTATTCATAGATGTTTAATATTATCTTTGATAGGATTATCTATAAATATACTTACTGAAAAAAATATTGTCTACATTTTAATTGTCAGTTACGTTCTCTTGCAGAACAACTGTGGGAACAGCTCTAGCAGAGAAGGTCAGTAGGAGAGAGAGGGAGGGAGGGGTACGTCTTTGTGAAGTGCAAAAAAAAGAGATATTGCATGTGTCTTCAAAACTGTATTTAAAACAACAAGCTAATTCAGAGAATTTGTGTCCCCTGCTTAGGGAAAAAAGAAGAGCATGCACAGTTCGGGAGGGGGTGGGGTGGGGGGTCACACTGCCCCCTGTATTTGTAGAATTATTAAAAGTATACATGTATATTGAAGCAAATTAAAAAAAATGCCAATATGGATATAAAGATTTCATTGCTTATTCTTTAGTATGTGTATAGAAGATTATTTTTAATATACAGAATATTTATCTCACTGTAATAATGATTTTATGAGTTTGTACACACCAGACATCATAACTTTTTCATTTCACATGTTGAATAGTATCATTTAGTAAATCCAAAAAAAAAAAATTAAGAAAAAAAAAGAGATTCGTCTGGGGATTTGAACCCGGGCCTCTTGGTTGTTAAGTGAGTAACATACCACTAGACCACAGAGGCACTTGCATATAGAGCAAAATTAATGCAAACATTAACTCACATATAATGTTTATATTGACATTTGATATTGTCAAAATTTTAATCAATACATGGTGTCTAATTTAGCCTTTACTAAACAGTTCTAATAGATGTAATAAGAATATAATGTCTGCCAACAACCTGTATTATACGTAATAACTCTCCACAAGTCCCTGTGCTAAAAATAGTGCCATGTGACTTTTAATACAATACAATTGTAAATAATAATTAAAAAACGGGGTGGGACACTTTGAGAGGGGTGAGAGAGGCCCTAGGGAGTTATGGTATAAAATTTCATTGCAAAAGCTCAAAAGCTTCTTGAGATATCGCCCGGAAACAAAAGTGTTACATACAGATGGAATGTATAAATTTATGACCTTGAACTCTGACCTTTTGACCTCAAAATCAATAGAGGTCTTCCTTAGGCCACAGAGAGTTGTTACGTAAAATTTCGTTGCAAAAGCTCAAAGGATTCTTGAGATATCGCGTAGAAACAAAAGTGTTAAAACAGACAGAATTTAAGAATTTATGACCTTGACCTTTGACCTTTTGAACTCAAAATCAATAGGGTTCTTCTTTAGGCCATAGGGAGTTGCTATGCAAAATTTCATTGTGAAAGCTCAAAGGGTTCTCGAGATATCACGCGGAAACGAAAGCATTACAGACAGACAGAAATACAGATGGACGGACGGACGGACAGACAGACCCAAATTAATATCCCCCACTTTCAGTGAAAGTGGGGGACAAAAACTTTCTTCTTCTTAAACTTCACTATCAATTATTTAGGCACTTAATCAGGAAACTCAGTACCTTGTGTTTTTATATTTCACTCACGCCACTGTTGGGGAACAGTTCATGTAACAAAGTTTTATAAGATCATGAATTAATTTATTAATAAATATCTGATGAGAAATGAAAAACAAATTGAAATGTAATTAATTAGCAATCAGTTAGACTTAGCATTAAGCAAATTGTTTAAATCTTGTTATCATAAATTATATGTATATGTTATTAATAAGGAATTATTCCAGACGTAACAATGAAAAAAATAATGTCTAATGTCCCAATGTGCACATGCATTCTAGATCTAACAAAACAAATAGACTGGTAGATGCTCCTTTCAATAATAAGAAAGTAAGCGTCAACCTTTTCTTTATACAATGTAGTAGAGAAACCTCATGTGTATCTTTTAATTAGCCTTATATTTACATGGGAAAAAGGAAGAGGGAATCTGCTACATTTTTTAACATTCATGTTAATATATTCCTTACAGCTTGGACTGCCATTTAGAGATGCTGACGAGTTTCATTCCAAAGAAAATAAAGAGAAAATGTCTCATGGAATTCCTCTGACTGATCAGGTGAGCAAGTTGAAACACAGTAGTTTATATATTGTTTTATTTCATGTACTGTAGATTCCTAAATATATGTGAGTAATTAATTATTGCATAATTTTGCAAGAAGCACCACTCACGAAATAAATTTACTTGCTTTTATTTTTATAGTATTGAAATCCATATAAAATCCCTAATGATCAACGGTCTACTTGTGAATTATTGTTCTCGCAATTTGACGTCAAAGAGCCATTTTGCTATATTAAGTACTCACAAAAATGAGGAATCTACAGCATGTTGTAGCTGCTGCTCATGATTTTTTTTAATTTTAAGTGCAAGTCGATCCTTTTATTTTTGATAGGACAGACTCCCATGGTTATTAGCAATACACAAGTACATGAAGGGGTAAGCAAGATAAAAACCTATTATAATAATTTGATACACAGATTCGAACTTCAATAACCCTACCTTATATGTTACAATTAATGCAGTCTCAAGATTTATGTGTATATATGCATGTATTTTTCAGACTCTCAAAAGAGGGGAAATCTGGTGTTGTCACCTGCTCAGCGCTGAAGAAAGTATATAGAGATATCTTGGTAAATGGTTCTTCATCTGAAGATGAGATTTCTGACATTTTGTTTGTCCTTTTACATGGTGACAGGGCGGTGATTCAGGACAGACTAAACAGTCGCATCGGTCATTTCATGCCTTCCTCTTTACTAGACTCTCAGTTAGCTACTCTAGAAATTCCAACTACAGAGGAAAAATGTGTTCAAGTGGACATTAAAGTATCTCCAGCTGAAGTTGTGGATCAAATTATTGAGAAAACAAACACAAATTTCATGAATTGATATGGTACATCACTCATACTGTGGATTCTACAGGATGATCAGTAAATTTCTGTTTGTAGGCATCATTGTATTTAATAGAATCAATTTTGATTCATATTACAGTAAACTAGTAAAGTATAAATTAAATGACTGCCGTCATGAGAAAAGGGCCCTTAAGGTCAAAATTTCACAAATTGACTTTTTGGTAAATTTTGATAGCCTGACTCTTTCTGAATGCAAATATACACAATTTTTAAAAATATCTAACTTTTTCAGTATATTATGAGCAGTTTAGTAAGGCCGCTTTAAAACAACGTTGATGTTATGCACTGAAAACGTAATGACGTCGCATGCTTCAAATTCAGTTTCCAAGCATTCTTTAAAAACTACATTTTTAGGTCACCTGAGTCACTCAGGTGACCTATTGCTATCCTTTTTTGTCCGTCGTCGTCCGTCGTGCGTTAACATTTAAACATTTTCAGCTCCTTCTCTGAAACTACTCAACCAATTTCAACCAATTTTGGCATATAGCATCTATGGGTGAAGGGGGACAAAAATTGTGAATTTCATGGTCCCTGCCCCCCTGGGGCCTGAGGGGTGGGGCTAAAACCACCAAAATTAATGCAATCTTCAAAAATCTTCTTCTTTACTCCTGGACATCAAGCAGTCAAACTGTTGGCATGATTGTAATAAGCATTGAGCCCTCTACCAAAATTGTGAAATTCATAGCCCCAGGGTCAGGGGTTCTGGTGCTAGGGTGGGGCTATATAGATCATATAGTAAAAGTGCATTATTTCTTTGAAAATCTTCTTCTCGCTCCTGGGTATTAGATAAACCAACTAAGTACATAGTTATGTCAAGCAAGACTGCCTCGTCCAAAATTGTGAATTTCATGGCCCCTGGGTCAGGGGTTCTGGTGTTAGGGTGGGGCTCTAGTGATTATATAGTTAAAATGCATTAAATCTTTGAAAATCATCTTCTGTGCGCATGGGTATTAAATAAACTAAATAAGTACATAGTTATAATGAGCATGGCTGCCTCTGCCAAAATTATGAATTTCATGGCCCCTGGGTAAGGGGTTCAGGTGTTAGGGTGGGGCCCTATTGATTATATAGTGAAAATGCATTATTTCTTTGAAAATCTTCTTCTCTGCTCCTGGGTATTAAATAAACTAACTAAGTACATAGTTATGATGAGCATGGCTGCCTCTGCCAAAATTGTGAATTTCATGGCCCCTGGGTCAGGGGTTCTGGTGTTAGGGTGGGGCTCTATTGATTATATAGTGAAAATGCATCAAATCTTTGAAAATCTTCTTCTGTGCTCCTGGGTATTAAATAAACTAAATAAGCACATAGTTATGATGAGCATGGCTGCCTTTTCCAAAATTGTGAAATTCATGTCCCCAGGGTCAGGGGTTCTGGTGAAAGGGGGGGGGGGGCTCTATTGATTATATAGTGAAAATTCATTCTTTCTTTCAAAATATTTTTTCTGCTACTGGTTATAAAGCAAAGAAACAAGTGTATAGTTATGATAAGCAAGGATGCTTTACAAAATTTTAAAACTTGTGGTCCCAGAGGTTCTGTTGTGTCTGGGGGGGGGGGGGGGGCGGGGAGGGGGGGAGGGGGCTCTATTGATAATATAGTGAAAATGGGTGAATTCTTTGAAAATCTTCAACTACATGTAACTGCATAGTTATGATGATGAGGGTACCTCTTCCAAATTTGTAAATTTCATGACCCTGAGTCATGGGTTCTGGTATTAGGGTAGGGCTGTGTTAAAATAGTGAAAATGCATTATTTCTTTTAAGATCTTCTCTGCTCCTGGGCATATTGGAGGCAAACAGAGTATAAAGTTTTAATAACCAAGGGTATTTTTACCAGAATTTTGAACATCAGGACCATTTAGTCAAGTGTTCTGGTCCTGGCCAGGGCTCTATTAATTTGTATTTTACTGAGTGAAGTTATTCCCCTTTGCCATTCACCTTTCATAATTAATCACTGTAGATAATGTATTTGAAAGATTAATAGAATAAGAGAATTATGCAAGAACATTTATTGTATAATACAAAAAGTACTTTCTTAGTCTAAATGATCAGGTAGACTTAAATAATACATGAATAAAAATGAAACAAAAATAACTTGTCTTTTTAAATGTTCTTCAAAGGCCAAGTGAGGTCAATGTGAGAGGTTATAGACATTTTGTTAAAAGTCTGCATGGTAACAGTGATAAATGGGGGACAAAGAGATAGATACTAGAACAATTATTTTGTTGATCTTAATCGAACTATTTTTCTTGCTTTTTTGCAACAAAGCTTCATTTATCGGTTTATGGATCCTCTAAATTGTTATACTCAGGTGACAGTTAAGGCCCTTGGGCCACTTGTTAAAATAACCTTAATTGTTTTAACACATATAAAGTTGATTTTTTTTTCTTCCAAGCAACTATTATGTAATTATTCATAAGGGGAGTTGCATACTTTTTATGCCCCTGGATCGAAAGATCCCGGGGGTATATTGTTTTTGTCCTGTCTGTCTGTTTTTCTGTTTGACTGTCTGTCTGTTGTCAACTTTAACCTTTCCCATAACTTTTGATTGGTTGGAGCTATGACTTTCATATTTCACATGTGTATTCCTTGTGACAAGACCTTTCTTTGGGTACCATCGTATTTGACCTTGACCTTGGAGTTTGACCCACTTTTGCAAAATTTTATGAGACTTCAACCTTGGCCATAACTTCTGAACAGTTGGTGCTTGGGGTTTCAAACTTCACATGTGTATTCTTTGTGACAAGGCCCTCCTTTGGATACCAACAACTTTGACCTTTTGACCTTGACCTAGGAGTTTGACCTACTTTTGAAAAACTTTAACCTTGGCCATAACTTTTGAACAGTTGGTGCTTGGGGTTTCAAACTTCACATGTGTATTCCTTGTGACAAGACCTTCCTTTGAATACCAACCACTTTGACCTTTTGACCTTGACCTAGGAGTTTGACCTACTTTTGAAAAACCTTGGCCATAACTTTTGAATGGTTGATGCTAGGGCTTTCATACTTCACATATGTAATCCTTGTGACATCACCTTCCTTTGAATACCAACCACTTTGACCCTTTGACCTTGACATAGGAGTTTGACCTACTTTTGAAAAACTTTAACCTTGGCCATAATTTTTAAATGGTTGGTGCTAGGGCTTTCATACTTCACATATGTAATCCTTGTGACAAGACCTTCCTTTGGATACCAACCACTTTGACCCTCTGATCTTGACATACGAGTTTGACCTACTTTTGAAAAAAACTTGAACCTTGGCCATAACTTTTGAATGGTTGGTGCTAGGGCTTTCATACTTCACATATGTAATCCTTGTGACAAGACCTTCCTTTGGATACCAGCAACTTTGACCTTGACCTTGCTGTTTTACTTACTTTTAAAAAACTTTAACCTTTGCCATGACTTTTGAACACTTGCAGGTAGGGCTTTCAAATTTAACATTTTTTTTTATCTTTTGGCCTGGATTTTGACTTGCATTTGAGAAGCTTTAACCTTCACCATAAGCTGCCATACGGGGGCATCAGTGTTTCACAAACACATCTTTTTCATATTTTGATTCAATGAAATGTACATAAAAATATATTCTTAAACAATAATTGAATATTACGTCCAACACACATGTTTATATACCTTTTTGTATATGAGGCGATTCGGTTAAGCAATATCCCATTGAAAGTATGTAACTCTACCACTCTAACTTGACTTCATAGGTGACTTAGTATCTGCTTTTGTCTTAAAAGCTAAAGATATAAAATAGACAAATTATTTTTTCCTAGTTATTGTTTCAAAAATTAAAAATTTGTCAGAATCTCGAAATTAAAGAACATGACTCTTATTTTTGCGTGTTACCACACGACTGAAATAGAACCCTTTTTTTCCTTTAAAATCAGAAAGATGTATGTGCTTGTTTATTCCTTTTCCTTCAGTAATCCGATAGCAACGGAACTTTCAACAAATGTTGAGATATCGGGGATATCGAGGTATCAGAGCTGAGACTCGACGTCCAAGATTTCAACATGAAACATGACTAATTTATTACTTACAGATGTACATGAATTCAACAGTCACCCAAAAGAAAATGTTTTTTCTAACATATTTTATGGTTTTCAAAGTTTTGCATGAACCTTTTTCAGGCATCACCAGTGTAATTTTTCTTTCATCTTTATCAAAATTTAGATTTCTTTGTTGTCTTACGACTGGTGTGGTTGATGTTTTTGAACATTTTCTTAACATTTGAATATGACACCCATAACTACTTGTTACTAGTACTTATTCCTCTACCAGTGATTTATTCTCGAAAGATGTCGCCATATCAACATTTATCAGAAGAATCTAAATTCCTTTACAGCCTAATCTATTGTTTAATCTGTTGTTTCTTCTGTTTCATAAATATTTTAATCCTTATATCACCGTCGATGTAATTGTTATTTTCTTCAACATTGATCATAATGCTTTTGGAAAAAGTCCACATTTATAGCTGTATTTATTTCCTAAACATATTGCAATTCAATTTCAAGTCAGCTTTTATCGCAACAATTTAAGAAAATTGATACATAGATTTTATCAGAGACTACTTTTTTATATATTTATTTGATCATTTCAAAATTTTTTTTACCATAATTAATTTCATGCAAAATTTCCGTGGCACCCCCCTCTTCCATTTTCCTCTTTGCACCTTCTCTTGCTGTTAATTTAGCAAATTATCTATATAGGGGTATGTAGGATGTCCGAATTTCCCATGATACCAGTATCCATACCCCCCCCCCCCCCCCATAAAAAAAGAAATTAAAGGTTCTCTTTTTAGAATGAATTTTTACCAATGCTTTTTTATTCGCAGATTTTTTTTTCCTTTTCAATGATCTCTGCCCCCCTCCCCCTCAAACACACATTTGGATATCGACGCTTCACCCTGAGCTGGTCTAACTGTGTATATGGATATGATTAACTATGTATTAAAACGGGTAAATACATTTTACATGAAGGTATTTTTTTAGAACAAGCATTCTGAGAGTATTGCATTAGCAATACTAGTCCCCTACCGTCAAGTGTAATCTGGTTCCCGTTAAAAATGGAAATTGCCATAATTCTGTCAAAAATCAATGAAGTGGAACGAAATGCAAACTTGATCTATAACTCATCAAAGTAAAGTCACATACCAAAAATCAGCTTAATATCTGCAAGTGTTTAGAAAAAAATTGCGAAAAACCCTGAAAAATTGAAAAGGTCATAATTCCGTCAAAAATCATTGAAGCGGAATGATGTGCAAACTTGATCTGTAACTCATCAAGATACACTCACATACCAAAAATCAGTTTAATATCTGGAAGCGTTTAGGAAAAAAGTGCAGAAAACCAAGTGGGACAGACTGACAGACAGAAAGAGGGACAGACAGACAGCTAGATGGCCAGACAGACAGACAGGCAGACTCAGAGGAAACCTTTAGTCCCCTCCAGTTTCACCGGTAGGGGACTAATAAAGAAGTGTATATGTGCATTGATTTCTCTCCCTCTCTCTCTCTGAAAAAAAAATATATCTAGAATACCATTTATTAACAAGCATTCTGAAAGTATTGCATTAGCAATACTAGTCCCCTACCGTCAAGTGTAATCTGGTTCCCGTTAAGAATTGAAAATACCATAATTCCGTCAAAAATCAATGAAGGGGGACAAAACGCAAACTTGATCTATAACTTATCAAGGTAAAGTCACATACCAAAAATCAGCTCAATATCTGAAAGCGTTTAGAAGAAAATTGCGGAAAACCCTTAAAAATTGAAAAGGCCGTAATTCTGTCTAAAATCAATAAAGCGGAACGAAATGCAAACTTGATCTGTAACTCATCAAGATACACTCACCTACCAAAAATCAGCTCAATATCTGCAAGCGTTTAGGAAAAAAGTGCGGAAAACCAAGTGGGACAGACTGACAGACAGACAGACAGACGGACGGACAGACAGCTAGACAGACAGACGGATGGACAGACTCAGAGGAAACCTATAGTCCCCTCCAGTTTCACCGGTTGGGGACTAATAAGCATTCTGAGAGTATTGCATTAGCAATACTAGTCCCCTACCGGTAAGTGTAATCTGGTTCCCGTTAAGAATTGAAAATACCATAATTCCGTCAAAAATCAATGAAGCAGGACAAAACGCAAACTTGATCTATAACTTATCAAGGTAAAGTCACATACCAAAAATCAGCTCAATATCTGAAAGCGTTTAGAAGAAAATTGCGGAAAACCCTTAAAAATTGAAAAGGCCGTAATTCCGTCAAAAATCAATGAAGCGGAACGAAATGCAAACTTGATCTGTAACTCATCAAGATACACTTACATACCAAAAATCTGCTCAATATCTGCAA